GATCCCTGCCACCCCTATGGCATGATGTAACGATGAAGATAGCAGGTACCATCTGGACTTCTTGATCTCAGGTGATTCCACCTGGTGAGCATTCTCAGCCAATGAAGCACCTGCCAAGCCAAAATCAACTGACTGCGCAACCGATGCGCCGATGTTCGGTGGAAACGGTTTATTTAATCCTTCCGCCATCACCTTTGAAGATCGAGTTCATTTAAATATGGCAATACTATTTTTGGCGTTTGGCTCTTGCTCTTTACGTTTTTATATGCATTCTATCCAATCCAATCCAAAAGATATTTGATGTAGCGCCTTTTCCTTGCAGTTACAAAGCGCTGCTTACACGCTCCACAATAGTTGGGCCACTTAAAAAAAACAAAAGTTAGACACTTCGCAGAGATCAGTCAAGTATATATAGGCTGGTAATAAAGTAATTTTTATCAACCTGAATTTCCCAGTTTCACTTTTCGAAGGCTTTCCGATGCTCTTTGAGTTCATATACGTGAATAAAGAGGAAGAGTAACTCCTATGTAGATGCGTATTATCGGAAAAGAGTTATGTGACACCTTCAAAATTATTTACCTATGTGACAGTTTCGATGTCTAAATCTAGACACCTCTCTCAGATGTGTTCATTAATTTGAATGAAACATACGTAGATTCTAACAAAAATTCCATAGATTTGAAAACTAGAAAAGGGAATATAAACCAGAGATATACCTGACTGCACTAAAACCGTCGAATTTGAACGCAAGACAAATTAATTTGAATGTCAAACTCGCGAATTTGGCCGGGAAATCCTATAATTTTATTAAATCTGCGTTTTCATGAAAAGAAAATTAAATGCCAGACATTCAACCAACCATTTGACAATGATAAACTGAGTTTCTTATTCATGGTTTTAAATCTATCAGTGCGCGACATTTTTTCAGTTCACGGTTAAGTGGTTTAAAAGAGGGATATCGCCAATGGATGCCTTGTTTTCGTTCAAGTACACCCCTTTATTTCTCTAGATGTTCTGTTCCTCATACCTGGGAGTCCCTCTTCACAGGATACATTGCATCGGATTCCGTATCCCGAGCTATTTGGGACCTGCTATGGCAAACCTAACACTTTAAGGGGTAATGGAAAACCAAAGTTTTATTATCACTGGATAAAGTAAGAAATCACCTTCAGTATGATACCTTATAGAAAGGAAGTGATTGCAATTATTGCGTTTTTCGTGCTTTTAATCACCGACAGTTAATTACGAGGTATTAAAGTTTAAAGTTAAGAATTCGGTTTCATTTTCACACCAAAACCCATGTACACGTTCACTACATTTTTATTTAAGACCGCCATATATAGCCATATTTGACATCTTCGTGCTTTTCTCTTTTTTTCGGTACCAATACAAAATATGCCAGGGATCAACAAATAATTGGTAAAATTAAGCGGGAAAACAAAAGGAAACTTTATTTCTTTTTGACCGCATTATTTCAACTAATTTCGTCCAACGAGGGGGTGTATTCATAGATTTAAATTATGAGACCATTAATAAATCTTATGTTGGTCCCTGAAGTAAAAAAATCCCTGTTCGGAGACTCCTACAGCACAATGATTTTTGCAGTAGCGGATCACAATAGGGACTTTTAGATTTGCACGTCGACATAGTGGACTGCTACGTATGACGTCCTTATACGGCAGTCCCTTTTAGTGTACATCGTGAAACCATTATCGTTTCATCTAGCTTGGGGTTGCCAGTCATGCCAGTTGCCAGGAGTCATGAGTAAACGAAAGCAAGAAAATATTTCCCCCCCCCCCAAAAAAAAAAAAAAAAAAAAAAAATTGACAAAAGATCTGGAGACCTAGACAACGATCAAGTAAATAAACATAGCTGTGACTAGCAGGATTATCAGTTTGTGCTCCATTTCTCAAAAGAATTATGATGAATGATATACAAAAGATATCACGCATGATAAACATGTATAACAATAGGCATTAAAATCGAGATTTTAAAGAAATTATTTGTACAAGAATTCCGCAATATACCCACTGATTTCACGGGCACGTAGGACACGCAGTAATATGCATTATTCTGTTTACCTTAAGGCTTCCCGTGCAGTGAAGATTTTTTTCTTCTTCTATGTATAGTGAAAGCATCGATTTGTTAAATGTACGCTTATAAATTATTAACAACCTCACAATAATCGCGGGCGCAAGATGGACGCCCCTTCCCTTTCTCCTCCGGGAACTATTGGCTACTAGCTCGCGGTTGCATGTCATTTTTTCGCGACTTTACCCATCTTTTAACATCCAAAAATGATTTGTGGCATTTTATGTCACATGACCCTTTATGACATTTGTCTTCCTGAAAAAGTAGAATTAGTGGATTTTACGGAATATATATAGTTTCTGCCTAGATCAATTGCATACGTAAGGAATACGAAAATGATTTCAGTCGTAGTATCCAAAAAGTAACTTACGAGATTTTTGCCCCAAAACTGCTTTTCATTCGTTTCCTTTCTTCTATCTCTTAGAAATATGTTATATTTTCCATTGCGATCTACATTTTTTACCATTTTGACATTAAATCCGAATTTGTTGCATATTAGTCGCCAGAATGCCGTATATGCTGAATGAATGAACATACATTACACAAGTACAACTTACTATAGGCATGATAGGGAATCTTTTGCCATAGCTCTGATTACGGTTGAAAGGTTGAACATTTTGAAAGGTTGACAAAGTTTAAAGGTTTATTTTATCTCGTAAACGGCCCAACATGGGGCATAGAAGTTATACAGATAAACTATACGAGAATATTTTACAACTGAGACAGGGAAGAAAAACAAAAACATATATGTCTCTTACTAAAGAGAGGTTCTTTGGTAGCAAACTAAACGCATAATAAATTGAAGGCAAGGTTTCAACGAATGAACAACGACCCCAAAAATAGACTTAAGTAAAACTATAAACCTTATATAACACATATTGTCAGCGCTAACAGCACGTATACTAATGCTATAACAAATTTAAAATATATACAACCTATTATATATATATATAGAGAGAGAGAGAGAGAGAGAGAGAGAGAGAGAGAAAGAGATATACATGTGCATATAGAAACCAAGGGTCTAATGCTTTGGATTTTTTTTTTTTTTAATTCTAAAATTCGACGTATTGATTTTACAAGAATTTAAAAAGATTCTTTAACTGTTTAACACAAGTTATATTGAACAACTGGTGAAATTTGATGTTAGGTCTACTGTGATAATATTTCTTAACATAAATGTACTACTTATTACGAATGTTATCAAATGCTGGATAAAAGAGAAAATAATGGAATTCATCACCTTATACGTAACTTCGGGATCACATAAGGAACACAATTCTAGAGGCTGACTGACTAGGCAAATAACGACATTGAGTGATGGGCAGCTTACTATTACAACATCGATTTTTACAAAAATAGATGTTCTATCACTAAAATCCAACTTTAACAGATATTTTTCCATACCAAATTCCTGTTTAAAAATCCTGTAACTGAAACATAAACATTTTATACTAACTTCTTCATTCCTGTTTTGCAAATCAATGTCATTTAATCTACGATCCATAGATGATTTAACACACTCTATGTTTAAGGAGGTATTTCTACCCATAAATTAGAGATTCTGCTCACTTTTAATTTTATAATTCGATTCAAAATCACAATTATCGTATAGTTTGCGTAACAAATTGTAAATAGTACACGAGAGTTTAGATTTTCCATGAGTAACTCCTGCCGAAAGATTTATCATACGCCTCTCCACTTTATAAGCCAAAGCAAATCTATCAACTTCGTCATATACATATACAACTTTCAGTGCCACGGCTCAATTTATGAAGGGCTTTGAGCAATTTCCTACAAAATACTTCAATACCGTTTACAGAAAGTAATTTCCAAAGCTCATAGTTCTGATGATATGCAGCAGCTAAGGCAGACTACAACTCTTCAGCGGATTCAGCCATTATCATGATGTCATCAGCGGTCAGTGACACATAGGGCCTGAGCAGGCGCGGATACAGGATTTCTTAGGGGAGGGGGCCCAACTTTTTTTTTTTTTTGCTCCCGAAAATTAGAAAATCGTGCCGGCCAAAAAGTCGCTCTGTGGGGGTGGGGGGGGGGGGGTAGTGAGCACAATAAAAAAAAATTAGTCCTCGAAAATTTATAAATTTGCCCCACTTGAGCGCCAGGGGGGGGGGGGGGCAACCCCCCGAAAAAGGTTAAGTTCACGTGTTTTTACATGATTTTTTTTTTCTCAAGGGGGGGGGGCCGGGCCCCCCGGCCCCCCGGCCCCCCTCCCCCCCCCCCCTGGATCCGCCACTGGGTCAGAGAAACACTTCAATATCATCGTCACTTATCTCATAATATGTCATTAAAAAGCATTTCCTATAAACGATACTTTCAGGCTCTTATTCCTTGACAGTTTTTGTGTTTTCCTTAGAATGACCATCATTACATTCCCTGCCATACTTTTTCTTTCATAACAAAAGCCAATAATTCCCATGGGCTAATTAAATTGATTCCTACGACAATCCGATGTTTGTTTTAATAAGGAGGAGGGATTCATTTTTCCTTTACATACACATGTCGTTGGGCCGATTTTGCACACATTTTGTTCCTTCATTCTCATTTTCTTTTGCACTAATGTACGCAGGAACAAAACAAGGTAAAATTGCAATTTATACATATATTTTTTTTTCTTCAGAATCTCATTGTCTAGGTATCAGATTCTTAATCATTTCATTTCAAATTCCATATCAAATTCCATATCAAATAATAAGAAAAATAGTAATAATAGATTGATGCGGACCGAACGAGGGGAGGTTGGAGAGACGAGAAACTAGAAATTAAGTTGATTTGGCCTAGCCTTACCCTAAACCCCCATCCCTCACATTGCCATATGTTGTACCAAACTTCCAAACTTCCACAAATAACATATATATATATATATAATGGACACCTCCAACAGTCAAACACGCATGCCCAACATGCCTTGCATGGGAAGTATATTATTGATACAAATTGAAATGCACGAAAATATTAGCATACAATGCTTATACACCGTCCTGCTTAACTCATACCCATATGACCTTTCAAACCAATATACTTCCGGTATGCTATCATTTATGACAAGTTACACTATATATGAATAAAAACTATGGTTGACTGTAGTGGAACCATGAACTTTAGGAGAATGTACTGAATGAGAAATAACAAGAATTAAAACATAATGAATAGTACAAATGGGTAATCATATTTGAAATCTCCCCAATTAGCAATTCGGCCATATAGGCCTTTAAGTAACCTACATAATTTATGTCTGCAAATATAGCGCCGTGGCTAGGATTCGGATTTTAGACCTTAATTATCCTAGCCGGTAACTTTTCCACAAGACCACGATACTTCCTAACAAGAACAGTCGCATGATCACTGATGATTAGACTTCAAGAGGACACAAAATGTTACATAACGTTTGCTTAAATTCCCCAATACATTGGAAATGGCAAGTAGCGATTCCACATAGCCTTTTAAACGCAATACTATAATATTTTGACAAAAAACAAGTTGTCAAAGACTTTGGAGAAATCATCTCAAAGGTAATTTCGATACGTTTTCTTTTTTTCCAATGAATTACATGGTGGGAATATGTAATTCGTAGTTGTAATGTTTGTGCATTATGATAGGTAATGGGCAAGGCTTTTGAAATCACTTAATTTTGTTTTCTCGAAAGTCTTTGCTATGGTGTTTTACTAAGATTCTTGTATACATGAAATAATTGTTTAGTGATACAAAGATAAAATGGATTAGTCGATGGTCATATATAAAATTATGACTCTTCCATTAAGGAAATAAATTGAAAATATGCTCATGTCATATCGGACATATTTCTTTTGATAATAGTGTTCGCATGGTTACAATATGGTAAATATTCATTGTCTGATTTATCTTGTTTTCCTTATTTAATATTCTTCTTTTCTTTCTTGTTAACCCTTTCTTTCTTTGTATCCCTTTCTTACCTTTCCTCCCTTTCTTTTTTCAAACCTTGTATTTGTGTTTGTTTTTCATTTTGTTTTACTATAATTTTATCAATTTCGCGTTAATTGTATGTATACATCTTCTATTTGGAGCGGCAAAGGCGCGACATGGAACTAATGCCCTTGTGACCCGAAACAGACGTCATGCTAAACGTGTTCGTTAATATATTTTCATTGCGTATCACGTATTCCATCATGAATAATATGAAGTATTAGCCCTGTATTGTAAATAATAAAATATGACCTTGTATTTCCACTAATCTACTTTTACATACTTGTTTGTAATTTATACACAATTTCCTATACTCCTATTTCCTTTATTAATAATCGTGATTGTTAATAAAGTTATATTGAAACTAGTTTTCTGTAATTGTTGATCAATGTTGATACAGGGCATCTTGGTCGAGCTGTTTGTTTAGCCTTACAATTAGATTTAATTTTGAGTAACAAAAACATACTATGGCACATCCAAAATTATCGACCTATGTGATAGTTTCGCTGTCTAAGTCTAAACTTGTGTGTAGCTGACTAAAGTTTGCAGCCAGTTCTTCGATCGCCAAAAATGACTTTTTGGCGATAGCCAATGGGTAGGCCTATTATAATATGCATGCCCCCTGGTAGCTTATTACAGTCTACAAGTACTCATGTGAGAAAGGTGTCTGGACTTAAACATCGAAATTGTCAAACAAATAGATAATTTCGGATGTGACATAAGATCATTTCTAAACTGTCCCCATTAATATTTGCAGAAAAAACGTGGGGTAAACAGATGACAGTCACAGTGACTTCACACCAGAAAGACAGCCAGGAGTGCAGGGATGAGAAGCAGAGTGTAATGAAGAGTAGATGAGACGGCATTCCCTGTATCGTCACCTACAAAACGGAGATAAAAATATATAATAACTCGTGTGAGTATTTTTTATATACTTCAGGTAAATAACACATATTTTTTAAGTCAAAGATATGATAATAATAAGACATTATAATGCAAACATTGTATTGGAAAATGAACCTAAATTTACATGTCAGTTTTGTTATTATTATTATTTGTTATTATTGTTGTGTTTTCTTTGCATCCTTGAATGTATATATTGTTTATGCTGCTTGTCAGTGGCGTAATGAGCAAATCTGCATCCACCACTCTTACATGCAGGCCCCGCTGAACGTTTTTCAAAGTGGGGACAGGGGGCGGAGCCCCCGAAGCTCAAGGTGCATTTTCAGCAACAGATGGTAGTATACGTAAATCTGAAGTATCGTCAGGGGCGGCGATCCCGGAAAAATCAGTCTATTGGTACTTACTGGCTCTATAGCTCTTAAGTCAATTCGACAACTAATAAACGTTATTTTCCCACTTTAAGACATTTTCAAGCCGCCCTTTTTTTAGGGAAGTTCTAAATTAGTATTATCTTTGAAATGCCGTTGGAATTTGACCTTTTCATTTTTGTTGGCCTACAAATAGGACATAGTACCTTTAAAGCTAATTTTAAGAGGAGGTTCCTTATGCAACTGACAAGCCGGGAGTGACATTACCACTCTGAATAGTGGGAGAATCAACGTTTTTAAAAGCTCCTTAAATTATATAGGTGGGATGCATTTTCACTAAAATAAGAATACATCTCTGGTGCGGTTCGCTCGAAACCTCGTTAATTCGTGTAGGTCAATTTTCAAATTTGCTTACCAGTTCGACCGTACACTGTCGGGTTATCATCTTGACCACTCCTCTGCAATCCGAAGGAATCCATGGCGTTCATTACAGATCCAACTCCAAATGAATAGTTGGTAGCAGGAGAGAGACCAGTCAACGTCACCTCGTTATCACTGACGTCACCACGCTGTTTAGTTGTAGTGGGTAATCTCTCATTGGTTGAATTATTAATGACGTAGAACTCGTATGCGTCATGTGGGCTGGTCGGAGGGGTCCAGGAGAGGGTCGCTTCAGTCGTACCAGTTTGTTTAAGAGAAACGTTAACTGGACTCTCGGGTGCTACAAAACGAAAATAAATTCATTTGAAAATCGTAGAGTGAGATTTGCTTCGGTCGTATTCGTTACTTTAAAGTTGGGGTGAAATCCAAATAGAAAAATGATTTCTGTTGATGTGCAGGGCTGTATTACAACTCATATTTTGCATAATACTCACTGGACTCACGGGTGTTGAACCAAAATAAAATTATTTTTTTGTAATGAGATAACGGGTGGTGGCCTGTGGGTAACCATACAATTTGACGAGTAATGTTACTTATAATACGACATAAAATGGTTTTGTTCAAAACTGCGGATGAGAATGAGGATGGACAATTCTAAACAATTGATAAATGCTTTGAAAGGAAATGATGAATACTATATGTAAAAAAGAATTGTTGGCAATTCTCATATATCTAGGAGAAAAAAAGTTTAACCCGGCGTTTATGTTTCAACTCACTTTTAAAAATTGATTTTATAATTGAATGTTAATGTTAAGATAAAAACGTGTCAAGTTATTGTCGTTTACCGCTTCTCATTTGCGTTGATGCCAGGTCCATGACTGGACTACCACCTCTTAAAGTCACGGTAAACACTGTTCCTGGAAGTAGAATGGTCAGTCCGACCTCAGCTTCAAAGATACCCCCTGTACCCTCAATGGCATCACTTGGTTCAGCCTCGATGTCATAGAAGAAGACTCCAGCGACAGGTTTCCATTGGATAAAAGCCGATGATGACGTAACATCAGACACAAATATGTCTCCTTCAGCAATGGCCTCTGGGGAGTAACCAAGAATATACAGCATGTATACAAACTGACTATCTTTTTACATACTGTACATATATCTAACATTTTGCTGCTACACACTGTGTGTTCGGATAAGATTGTAAACACGATTTCACTACGAACATGACGAATGGCAGAAGGGGAAAAATACGAAGGACATTGACATGAAGAAATAAAAACAACAGGATTCTTATCAAATTATGAAGTAAATATATATAAATATTTATTAAAGGTAAAGACCAGTATTGGAAACGCCCCAATTTCAAAAAATGAAATGGAAGCTCTCATTACCAATCATGTGAAAGAATATGTTTTGACTAATACATGATGATAAAAAATTTGCCGGGAAACCGCCTACTAATTCATATATTTGGTAAATTTATTTCTCTCATGGTCTGTGAGAGATATAGGATAGTCCCATATACATCTTTCTGTGTATAGTGCTTGTAACTTTACGAAGAATGGGCCAAATTTCTTATCATTTTGATGATTCCAGAACCTTGCAGATGCTAGATGCTAGATGATCAACCTTTTCTGATCGATTCCACAACGTTTCTTTCACAATGCAATCGCATGACCATAACTGGTCTTTACCTTTAATGTTTTAGTTTTAGTGTTTTTTTGTTTGGTTTCGGGTCTTTGTGCGGGGTTTGGGACTTTCCTTCGGGGGGACCGGATGTTATCTTATTAAAATTACTTGCTTCAAAAGTGCACAATTGTGTTACCTGTAGTAACGGTTTTATTCAATGAACGTCCAGCGCCCTCAGTAGTCCATGGTATGACAACTATTGTGTATTGTTCTTCAGGTCTGAGTCCGGTTATCAGATGTGTCGTGTCGATGGTGTTGGTTGGATATCCACCCACGCTTCTTTGGGATGATTTGATAACATCCACGGTGTAGTAGTCCCATGATGACCCTGCTGCTGTCGCCCAAGAAATGTTGATGTAGGACGGACTATTCTGAACAGTGATAGATTCTATTCCTGATCCATGCTGTGAAATTATGATAATCAGTTGAAGAAAAGAAAATTAATTACATTAATACCCCCCCCCCCCCCCACTCAGTGTTATTTAGGGTACGCATATGTGTGTTCCCTCCTCATGATTATAACGTATCATTTTTCCATGTCGAATGGATATCCACGCTCAAACATGAACATAGTAGGGATATCCTCTCAAAATAGTAATACAGATAACTCGTTTAGAATGATTTCACTATAGTTTAAAATGAATTCCACTCCAAAACATTTGGATCCGCTCCTAATAGAGTGGATTTTCACTATTCTACATTAGGAAAGTGCTCGTTTTCAAAGAAGATGGTTTGGCAAATAAAACTTAGTTTTGCTGGAAATAAAGAGTAAGTCTGGGTTTTTCTGTGTACTTTTACTTTCCATTAGCTAGAACTGAAAGCATGTAACCTATATTCAAATTAAAGTTTTATCTTCGTTTGCTGTCCAACATGGCTGCCTTAGATAAAGACAGGCCAATTAGTCCCCGACAGTGTAAAACAATTATTGATGTACAATAAATTAACAAATGGGCATTACAGTCAGCAACTTAATTATTCATACCTCTTATACATTTCTTTTTTATGTGTGTGTGTGTTTCGTAACTTAGGAATGAAAGGTGGGCTAGTTAAATTAGGGTTTTTCTTGAATACTTGAATGTAAGCTTTTATATGTCACATTCTCAAGAAACAAAATCAAGAAAACTCTATTTTTCACACGCTTTAAAAATAACAAACTTGGTAAGGGTGTGAAGTGAATTTTAACCCCTGGCAGTACTTTGGATTCAGCAGCCCCCGCCGCTTCATATTCTTGTGTGCGCTCTAACTGCCACATTCCTTCACGGATTTCTTTCAAATTTGTATGGAGGTGTATCTTGGTATAATTTTCACATCTTTAACTGTTGGTGATGCCGCCCCCATAGTCCGGGAGCCAGGGGGGTCAACCTAGCTGGAAAGGAAACCAATTTTCATGTGCACGGATGTAAAGATCGCATAGCCCCATAACGAATTGACCGTATGGCATGTCCTAAATGGTGGGTGTGGCCAGAGGGAGGCCCCAAAGGGAGCAAAAAACCTTACCTGACGTAAGTGTATCAAATTAGTTTGGCGAGTATGAATTGAAGAATTAAAAACAAAGATATCGCTATTAAAATGTATAATAATAATAATAATAATAGCTAGTTCTTATATAGCGCTTTTCAGGACCGAAGGTCCTCTCAAAGCGCCTTACAGATATTATTACCCCGGTCATCGGATTCAGGCTTACCCGCACACAATGTAGGCACATTCTCCACTCCCTGGGGAGCATTCCAGTCAGGCGTCATTTTTGCAAGCGCATACTTGCTAATCTAAGCAAGGGAACTCAAGGTTATCAAGTCCTTTAATGGTAATATATTTGACTGTGAAAATAGAGGATTTGCATGACTATTGAAGGGAGCATTAAAGATAATTCATATTGCTTTCTTTTGTCAAATGCATGATTTATCTAAATGAGTTTTAAAGGTGTGACGCCAAACAATATTACAGTAATTGAAATGGGGGAGTATAATGCTATTGTAGATAGTGGTCAGAATGGACTGTGGTACAAAAAGTCTTAATTTGGAGAGAACAACAATAGATCTTGATATGTTTGATGTGGCTTCCAAGAAAGATACTCATTTAAAATTATACCTAAAAACTGCATATTATCACCCTTTGCTATGACATTTCCAACAATAATGAGATTTGAGAGAAATATATTAACACATTTAGTAATTAGAACGGAGAATATTCAAGGTAAAATTTCTGTAATATCATAATATCATCTCTTCTTTCATTCGAATCATTATCATTATCATCATCATCATCATCATCATCTTCATCATCTTCATCATCATCTGCATTGTCAATATCACCGTCATTAAAATTCGTATATTCAACTACATATCCGTTCTGCTTTTAATATGTTTCATGACTTTTGTCTCGGGCTGTCGTATTATCAAGCAATCTGCTTAAAATGAGAGTCCTTCTTCCGCAAATAGTGATATAATGTTTGAGGAAATTTAGCAGTCATGACAGCTTATTATATCATTTTTGAAAATAACAATTGTTATATATATTTGCTTATTTATGATTCGTTGTCAGAAAAATACTAGTGGCGATCTATACGTCATCATTTTCTTTCAGGGAGGGGAGAAGGGATCTTTGTCCCACCTTCGAACTTAAAGGGAAAGTCCACCCCCAAAATAAGTTTGTTTCAATAGAGGCAGAATAATAAGAAAATCAGGTGAGTGAAAGTTTGAGCAAATTCTGAATGAAAATAAGAAAGTTATGAATTATTGAAGTTGTGATCAATCAAATACAAATTGGCAACTCTGTGACTTATTATACGAGCTCTCCTCATTTGCTTTGTGCATAATATTCCATAAAACCATGTTTTCTTCGTTATTGATGACGGAATATATATTTGTTCCTTGCAGGGGGAGTATAGAAACATATTTGCAATTATTATATTTAGGGTGCATGTATGGTTGAAATTTTTCTTGAGGGAAAAAGAAAATTTTATATTTTTTTAGTACTGAGCAAATGGAAGTTGAGCTCGCATGATACGTCATAGAGTTGCCAATTTGTGTTTGATTGATCACAACTTAAAAAATCCTAACTTCCTTATTTTTAATCGGAATTTGCTCAAACTTTCACTGACTTGTTTCTCTCATTTTTCTACTCCTATTAAAACTAACTTAATTTCAGGGTGGACTTCCCCTTTAAGGATGACACAAAAATCGCTGCCACTCCCGGGGGATACGTTCGCCTTGCACGGCAATGCATTTTGCGATATTTCTAGTTTAATGTATTTTCACCGGCCAACTTTGGGTAATTTTCAAGTTCAAGTTTATTTGTTTCACATTTTACAAAACAGAACTTCAAATAAATGACAAAATTAGAACATAATATGAAATATACTCAAAGTATGACATTATATAATCAAGTCTCTGTAAAGACGTCGAAATTAATCGTATTAAAGTCACACTGTCCTACTTGTAGCTACTTGCTCCCTCTATACAACAAAAATCCCTAATCGGTGACCATTGGTCCTCCATGATCCTCTTTGTCTTATGTTAATTGAGAGCTGAGTTGATAAAGCATTAGGTCCATGGATAAAGTAACCACCTGTCCAGTGACCTTGCAGTATATTCTTATCCCTCATATAAACTAGTACAGATATGCTTTAAATGGTAGGTTATACAGGGTGAAATTTGAGAAACCTATTAAAGACCGTCAATACTACTGGGCCAGAGGGGATAAGACCACACAGCGAGGTCACTGACAGGTGGCTATCCCAATAACTCAGCTCTAAACTAACATAAGAAAAAGAGGATCATGGGAGACCAACAGGCACCGATTGGGGAGGCTTTCTATATAGAGGGAGCAAGTAGCTACAAGTAGGACAGTGGGGCTATAAAAAGCTTAGCTTGCAGATTATAGGATCCCCTTAATAAAAACTAATATTTGATTGAAGTTGTTAATTAGGATAAAATTCATGTGTTTTCTTTGTAAACAGTATAATTATGTTTTTCTTATGTACGTATTATTCAATTAATAAGTGAAGGGGAAAGAATAAAAACAGAAGAAAAAAAACTATGTGAAAATGTAAAAAAAAAAAAAAAAAAAAAACACCTTTTCAATAATTGTTGTTGTACTTACCGAGGGAGAACAGAAGATGAGAAGTGAAGTAATGACACTAATTATGTAACGAAGATTCATAACTTTCGAAATCAAAGCCATGGCAAATAATAGCATTCATGAAGCCTTTACTCCTCGGTACCAAAATGTCAAAGTGGGTGTTTTCTTTATTACTGGTCCTAGTTATTGAATTCTACAACCAATCAAAATAGCGCAAGAAAAATACGCATCTGGCGGAAGCATCAACCGTAAACAAACTCGGGTATGATTAATACATTGATATCAATGTACGTTTGGTATCATGTTAGGTACGGTTAAGTAAGTCTGAGTTCAAAGTACGAATTATAACCGCTGGCAATTGAGTTGCCGCATGTGTAAGTTTATGCAAAGGAATGTATTTCCGGGCAATAAAGTGATAAATCTTCGACAATTATTGCGGGGTACTCTAAACCTCAGGAATCCAATTTAAAAATAGTACTACGACAATAACATATTTCTTCCATGCAAATACCAAAGGAAATCAGAGCGGTGATACATGTGTTTATGTTGTGTGATGCAATGGCAATAACGAAAACACTTTTTGACGGTACGATACCACATTGCTCATAATAATAGTCCTACAAAAGAAAATAAGAGGTTTTAAAGGTAGGCTTTACTACTTCAGCAAGAAGGGATTAGACCGCCCAGCGAGCCAGCGAGGTCACTGTAACAGGTGGCTATCTCATTAACTCAGCTCTCATTTAACATAAGAAAAAGAGGATCATGGGGGACCAACAGGCACCGATTGGTGAAGTTTTCTATATAGAGGGAGCAAGTAGCTACAAGTAGGACAGTGTGCCTTTAATCGACCATCAATGACCATGAACTCTGAGGTATAACCACTAGCAATTGAGTAACGGCATTTGAAAACGTTAAGGATTTTTTTTTATAGTTCATGACATTAGAGTTGAAATCTTCGATAATGAGACAATTAGTCATATTACGGAGTACTTCAGACCTCATAATATCAATTTAAAATAGCGGCCTTAATTTTCATATATTCCTCTGATTGAATCACTTCATTATTATCAAACTTCCTTAATTTTCCTTAAAGGAGAGATTAAAGAAAATCAACATCGACAAACAAGAAGAAACGAAATAGAAAAGAAATATTGAAGATCGAATGAAGTACTCATTAGTCGACAATACTTGGTGTCAGGTTATCATGATGGGGAATGTGTATTGTTGACTATTACCCTCTTCTTTTAGGAAAAGATCATGAATGAGATTTCCAGTGTTCAAATTTTAGTAACAACAAAAAATTATGAA